AAAAAAATGCATTCTTCGTTTATCCATTAAGTTTCTTTCACTTTTTCACCAACCAACCCCAGCAACAATTCAAGTAAATATAACGCAAACTTCAGGGATGGTATCCGTGGTACAATAGCTACTATTACTACAGCCCTTGGTATTACTTATACTACCCATACTACTACCCATACTACCCATGCTGGAACTTCTGCTCTAACAGATGCAACTGCAACAAATACGACTACGACTGTTGCCAGAATTGCTGTCAAAAATATCCTGGTGAATGCAACTGTGGTAAATCGCTTGAATGAGAAGAAGAAGAACAACAACAAAATACAGGTGAATCCATTTTCATCATCCATTGAATTTCAGTAGAGATCTATCAAATTATTTAGTCGACTATTCATTAGTTACTACTATCACATAGAGTGACAGCAATGAAATTCATTGAAAACGAACTAAAATTAACTGAACTTGTGATCCGTACAGTGACTGATATGAACGATTTCGATTTCAGCATGATCAATTGTCTCATTGACAATTCTAATTGGCATCTTCCAATAATTTCGATAGTTTCATTGACACTCAATTGTTGATCATCTTCAATAGTATTCATGATGTTTTCACGATAAATAATTCATTTGAAATTGCTTTTTGATGCATTACATCACAACACGATACGATGTGAAAACAATGCGCTGATAAGTGACAAGTCTTTTTCATTCAAAATCTGAAGTGAGTTTCACTCGAGTTGACAGTACGCATCTGTGGTGAAATCTGATTCCACATTGATATTCGCCTCTTTCCAAAGAACATCCCAATCGTTGTACACTAAACGTTTCCAGTATTCGTTCGGTATTGTGATCTCTTCGACTTGCCAACATTTACCGAAGTACTGAAAATAGAGTAACAACAATCGATGAAAACAAAGTTCACCATGTGATATTTGTGCCGAGACCACTGAACAGTTTACATATGACAGCCGATACTGCATGCTTCATTTGTTCAGTATCACTTTTCGCACAACAACATCAATCAAAATTTTGTACCCTTGGTTTGATTCCACACGTTGAATAGACTTTTAAGAATAAGCCGAGTCCTTCAGTGAAGAATTCTTGAGCACGACCCTCAATAGCGAACGTTCCGCTGCTATTCACTTGAACTCGACTGATCAAATCATCAACGCTACTGTCTGAAAAGGCGATCAACTCAATGCACGAAACTGCAGTGTGCACTGAAAAAATCATTTCTGTTGCATCATACATTGTTGGAAAGTTTATGAAGACACAGGTCGATTCAGTTTGGAGTTAAGAAGCCATAAATTGCTTCGATTTGGATTCACAAATTTTGGCTATTCAAATTGTGTTGAGAATAGAGATCTGCTGCTATAAGTACTGGAAGCCATGTTAATGAGCCAAAACTTCTTTTCTTAAATTAGTACTTCGAATGAATCCATATATGTACTGATACGATACGGTATTCTGCGAATAATCAGTGTGCCAAACTCGATTGTACGATGAACATAAACGATAAACGAGAGTCGATGTTACCAANCAACTACTCTAAGATGGTGAAGCAATAGAACTGCAAATCCATGTAAATGAGAACGGTGCTATTGAAAAGGGTAATTGAGATGATTATGAGAATGCAAAAGAAATCAAACAAAAAAGTACCATCTTCCCAGAGTTCGACGAACTGCGGACCTGCGTTCTCGACAGTTCTGCCATCGCAAAGAAGTCTTCCTTCGACCTTTATAACAGCGCACTTGTCGAAGAGTGGACAGCGTGGAAACAAAGGATTTTTGGTGCGAACGGACGAAGTGAATAATAAAACAGTTGGAATGAAGATGTAAATGTAATGCATTCGTTCGATATCTGAAATTTGCTGATATCAATACTCACAATCAGTAATAAACAAACGCTGCGAATGAGATTGGAAACGAGAGAATTATTTCGATGGGTAAAGATCGAATCGCTCATTCTCGCTAAGGAATTTAACGGCAATATTCTATGTGCAACCAACCACAAGATGCGCTCACTCGGTGGCTACTGAAGCCATTTGTGAGCATCGTCGAGCTCATAAAAGTTTTGATATCAAATGAATATAAAACGAATAAACAAGGAAGTGGTCAAATAACAACTCCAAACAAATAGTGTAATGTAATAATTCACGTAATAATTAATGTAATCAAACATGTAACAAACAATTTAATAATTTATGCATAATCCATAATCGAAATTGTGTTATTTGAATAAATCATTTCACTAAAACGTAGAATTGATAAACAATACTGAATTATTGAACAAAATAGTTTTTTGCTGGAAGTTGATTGTGGAATGGAGGGAGTGAAGGGGATGGCTTGAAAGTACCGTTTTTTATCGCTTTTGTTTCAGTGATGTAGCCATTCATCTTTCGAAGTCTACGCTTGAGCAGATCAAAGTATATTGGAAACAAACGACTTTCTTAAGAAGGAACTATCGCTTGAATCCATCAATGCAACATCTTGGGTGAGAGTGCGTAAGTCTGATGATTAATAGACTCTCTAAGAACAGAAGAACGCACCTCTTTGTCTGCTAGAGACTGAGCTCATTACAGCTGATTAAAAACAATACTTCAGTTGGTAAATGCACATCAATTTTGAGCACATTTTGACGACGTTAACCTCACCCATATTTCACTCTTCAAAATGACTCTAGGAAAATTTTCTAAAAGCTTTGATTCAGAAGTTTTTTTGATACATTCTAAAGCTGACTGATTGCCGTGCAACGCATCCAAAGATGGAATCATTCCTTTTAAGGAATGGGAATTTTTGAAGATATGAGTAAATCAAAGAATAAAAGCTTATCTATAAGATCAGACACATGCATTTGCAACTGTCAATCAAGAAGAAGTAATCATCATGTCTAAAAACATTTCGAAAGTGACAAGTTTTCTATGTAGAAAACGCAACTTCTTTGAAAATGAGAGTAATATCTAGCAGTGTGATTTGTTGAAATGGTTTCCTTACCAGTTCATTCATGTATGGTAATGTTGGACCATGAAAGCTCATCACGACCATCTTTTCAGTACTATCATTTCAATTCGATGCTAACTGCCACAAGAATAGAGCAGTGAGACGAAATCGTTGCATTTCTCGTTCTAAGCGATGCAAAAGATATTCATTAAGAAATAATAATATGATAAGATCAGCTGTAATATGTAGCGAGACTGTAAACTTAGTATTAGATGTGTAATGTCAGGGACAAACGAAAAACCAGTCCGGAAATTTCTCATCGATCTTAAATATTATACAATTTCTAGTAGTTTATCGTTCTCGGTTTAATTTGCACGCGGTGGCAATGAGTCTTCATAGAATCATATTTCATGAACCAGTTCTAGATGATTTCAGTTCCCCGGATCTTCTGGATTGCTTTCTATAATATTACCATTGCATGTGGGAATCGCATAGGTTACTTCCAGATCTTGTTAGCACGTTCTTGGTGGTATTCAACATCGCTGGACTTCCTCTTAGACCGTTGTTCCTCAGTATTGCAATCGATTATGATGGCAT